GCCAATCGACAGCTGGTCAAGAGGAATCCGCCGTCGTCTTCTGGTGGAACCGACCTTCGAATTTCTTCACAAAACACCTTTACTCGAAATGGAAGTAAGCTCAACAACTACTGAGCTTTCTTGACTCGTGAGCATTTAGTCACTAAATGAATATTTCTCATCTCCGTTGAAGTCTTGTACATGAAAGACCTGTCTGTCTCAACACATTTATTGAAGGAGAGGGCCTGTATTTCCCTACAATTTCCATTAACGTAAAATCCCGACATAGAGCTATTCTGTCTTCGGCATCATGTAAGATCGACTAACGAAGCTTTTTCTTACATACCTTCACAATAACTGCCTTTATATGCGCCCTTGCTCCGGATTCCTTCTAATAATTTTGCCGAATTAACCAAGTCCCAGCGCTTATGAAGTACAAATCAAAATTGTTTTTGAGAGCCGGCAAACTTGATATTTTGAGTTGTTGGTCATAATTCTGGGCTAACTGCTCCAGTGAATACCTCAATTATCGACATTATCTTGAGAGTTAATGTTATATTTACTAAAAAATTTGAAACTTATGTAATGCTAGAGTTCTCATACAAACGCTGATAAATGCACATTTTAAGGATCATACTACCTCAAATATCTTAGTGCCGTTATAACTCAATTTAGAAACTAGCCGTCATAGTATCATTATTCAACTCAATATTGTTTTTAGTAGTTGGCTGTAACTACTCTACTATTCTAAAAGGCACTAAATATGCGCTTGATTATAATTATGTATATATATATATATATACGATTTTTTCTTAACCAAATTGCAGTAGCATGCTATTTGCTCTATGCTTTTCATCCAGGATATTTCAATTTAATTAGCATAATCTGGCTTATGACACAAGATATTTCAAAAGATACACATCAATCCAAAGTCATATGAGCGACTTAAAACCCTATAATACTAAAGGTTTATAAACTTATTCTCAGGCATGAAAAATGCGAAATTATACTTTAATGTAATGAAAATGTAAAACTATTAATATATCCGTAAATATAGATAAATTCATCGTAAAACAAAATGAGAGCTAATTGACGCTATCATACCCCTTCAGAAGATACCTTTCCAAGTGTTTTGTTTAAATTATAATTTTATGCTGCTAATCAAGCATATTGCCGTTAAAGAAAGTTTAATTTTGGGTGCGTGTAAGTTGATTTGATTTAAGAAATTATGAATCATAGAAATCTACTCAAAAAAGTCGTTATCATAATTTAATCCACAGACAGTAATTAGATAATGTACAATGTCGATTCAATTGGTACTATGACTTATGGAGCTTAACCGATTGAGATAAACGATATTAGTCACGTTGAGTTATTATGATACTTTTCTAGGAACTGTTTACTTCTACTCACTGGCAGAAAGAAAAATAAGAGGGGGTGTAATGATCATTTTTTGTTTTTAGACGTTTGCCTCTAGCCTGATGACTTTTGCAATTCTAGTGAACGTAAAGTCAGGTAATAAACATATGAACGTATCAGACTAGACAAAGCATAGTCATATGAGTGTAGGGTATTTTGAGTATTTTAGCTATTCATAGCCATTGCTTGATGAAGATAAACTCATTGTAGTGCTGCCATCTGGTCTCTTCAGGGTCCTGTACAATTTTAGAGTCCTGACTCATACCGCTTGTTCCCGTGCCGCAGCAACCGACCATCACAAATCCGGCTCTGTAAAGGTCATCAAATGCTTGTTCAAGGTTGTTGTGTTTGAGAAAAAAGCGTGAGGAATATGCGTTTCCAACATCAGGATCACGGCTGTCGTTTAATGTCTCCCCAAAGACACGATGACAAGCGCTGATTCGACCTGCCACCAGTATACGTGTCAACTTGCGGAAGCGCAGGTCAGCCGAAGCGCCATCCCTGCCGAAGCCAAAGGTTCCTCGGTAGCCTATGGTTATGCAGCATGGCTCATCGACAGTCATATTAGCTGGACCTGTACTGGCGTTGTTGGTACTCGCTATTGCCATTGAAGGCGACAAGAATTGAGGACTTTGCGGAAGCATTGGCGTCATCTTCTCTAAAGTGGTAAGCATTTCAGGTAATTGAAAATAACTGGCCTCTCGACGAAGGCGATCTAGCTCCCTAAATCCGAGGGGTAGACTCACCTGACCTGTACGTAAGAAATCAAGGATATAGCGAAACAACTGGCCATCGCGATCTATGAAGAGACGGTTGTTGCCATCGCGTAATGGATAGAAACCTTCCTGCATCAACTGACCAAGCCTGGAGTTGGGACGACTTCTAATTGTTTCTTGCGTTGTCGTGTAATGGGTGCCTCCGACATTGAGTTCGACGATGTTCGAGCTCGTATTCATGCTTGTTTAGATTAGCCTTAGTAAAAATACGCTTTCAGATTATGAAAATGTCTAAGAGATTGAAGAAGTGAGCCAACCGCACAATCACAATCTAAATGTTGGAGATGGTGAAATAAGACCTACTGCCTGACGAATAGGCTGGTGGGTACGAGCAGGTTAAAATAAAAGGCCAGAATGTCTGAAGAAAGTCGAATAATGGTGAGTTGATGAAGGAGGGATCGCCTCCAGCAGCACAGAGACAGCAATTCCAATGGCTGTAAAGAAAGTACAAAGTTAATACTTTAGTTGGGCTGGACTAAAGAAACGCTAATTGGAGGAATAGTATTCACCAATCAAATAGCCCTTCCATCTTTAGGTTTGGTAATAATATTGGCAAAGCCAATGCCATCAATGTTTAAGCTAGCACGTTCCTTTGTGGGATTATGGGACAAAGCTTAAGCGGTAACCATATGAAACCAAGGATGAAAAGGGCTGGTAGTGCTTCCTACATTTAGTAATAAAGTTGATAATATGATTCAACTAAGAAAGAACTCTAGATGAATTTTATTGTTTCTTAATCGTTGAAAAACTTTGGCAAAATCAATCCAGAATTGAACTTTTTGCGTTGAACCCCCGCTGCGGTAGTTTTAGCAAAGATGATTTATGCAATTATTTAGGCTTTAGGCAGGTTTTACAGGAAAATGTTGATCTAATTTCATTAGGATATTTCTCTAGTTTGGCAGATTGGCAAGGAAAACTCCCTGCAACATAGATAAACATGAAAGAGGTCAAAATACTGTTTAAAATGCAGCGATAATGTCGGCAATTTCCGCAGGTCATGCGATAGCTATAAAAAGTAGAAACTGCACACTCTCGCGAACTCTGCCATGATTAGCATAGAGTTGAGGAGGTTTAACTCAGCAAAATAATTCTATATGAAAACATATTTCTTCTAGGTTCATTGATACAATTAATCAGGAGGCAAATAAAATCTGTTAACGCTTGTCTCAGGTCAACTGGTCGAAGCTAATTTGCAAGTAAGCATTTTATTTATCATATAGCCTTGTCAAAAAATGTGAAGAGTGAAGAATAAGTTTAATATTCACAATTCCATGAAGGTATGGCATAAATAAGATAATATGAGATGTATTCATCCTATTTCTTTTAATGTGATGAAGGCCTGGTAGTCGAATTTTCCCACAATGATACCAATTGAGTTGACTCTTTTTTTGAAGTTCACATATTCTTGCTTTACAAAAGGTGGACAGCAGGTTCGACCTCGCTCAGGTTTTATCGTCATCCTGTTTCATCACCTTAAACGAAATAGACTGACAATATTTCATATAACTGATTTACTGGTAATCTCTAAACCCTAATTTTGAAAGAAAAAAATATAAGATAAATTTGTAAAGCTAAGATTACTAGCCAAATATCTTAAACTGTTGCCCACGATGAAATTGCTCCTGATTCACTCTTATGTAATTTGCAGAAAAAGAATATCCAATTTAGTTGAATAGTGAGGAGAAGGACTATATTTCTTTCGGTTTGAATCAAAAATGATCAATAGAGTGTCATATTTAACATAGGAGAGAAAAAATTCATGCCAACTGGTATATGGCGGCAGATTCTTTTCGCTTCAGATTAATCTAAATCCTAACATTTGCTTAGGTGATAAATTGTATTTGTTACGAAATATTTTCAGCTGCTTGACCAAAAATATGCGTCTATTGCTTGCGTAAGTCGTAAAGGTAAGGACTTCAATTTTATGGCTAACTAAACGCAAGTTCACATTCAATTGAAGAACCTTTCAAGCTTTCGAGAACTTTAGCAATTGTGAATGTATAAAAAGTTTGCGAAAATCTTACAGAAATTCAACTTTACGTTTTTTTCTTAAAAT